GGGTCTGGGGGCATGCGACTATTTCAAGCCAGAAAATGCTAATGCTTCATCAGAAGAATGTTAAATATGTAGCAAAAGCTTAATACCATAAGCAGGTGCGCTATAACTATATAAGCATAATTGTTTTACATCTCAAATATAGGGGGAGTTCGGCCAAATTCCCTCCAAGTACGTGCGTGTAGATAGAAGAAAAGAGAACGGTGAGAAAAAGAAACAGAGATCGCTAAAGTAAAAATTAGATAAAAGAAGAGTTGGAAAAGATTGAGAAATATAATATAAGACAAGAAGATATATGGGGAAAACATAATAACACAAAATGGGAAATACAACGATCATAAACATTTAAGAAAGTTACAGAGAAACTATCACAAAGAAATAGCTAAACAAACTATTGAAACAAAGTGTAAAAACGAAGAAAACGAGAGGTGTTTGTTTCTCTGTATAATTTCGAGCAAAGCTATACGAGAGATATGTACGCTAGCCGCTCTTAATTTTTAAGTGATAGACTAGAAGAAAAGCACCCACCGCCAACTTGTAGTTACTCATGAACCGAAAAGTGGGAGTTGACCATTACTCTTATGATGCACCAACAGGTCCAAAGTGCGGATAACGATTTTTTTTTTTTGCCGGAAACAGAAATCGAACCACATTATTGCAGATCCACAGTCGGCCACGCTAAACATTGAAGGGGATATAAAAACAATAGTTGTGAGAAACAAAAGAAAAATATAAATAAAAACTAAAAATAATAAGTTTGTTTGTTTTAGAATAATGCCTCATTCGGCTATCCCTGGGGAATCGAACCCCAGATTTTAGCGTTGCAAGTCTGTACCGCTATCCCATCAGTGGTAAAAAAAAGTAAAAGATGGGAATGTAAAAGATGAGAAAATTAGAGATCAGCATCGTGAGAGTGAACTTGGCATGGCCTGGTTGATCATGGGTTCGAACCCCCATCATCGAACATGCTTACCCTTTCAGCTGTGGGCGCGTTATAATGTGACAGTTGATCCCACTATTCGTTCGTAAAAGAGTAGCCCACGAGTTGGCGGTGGGTGGTGTTAACTAACTGTCTTCCCTCTAGTCTATCACTGCTAAATTAGGGACGGCTAGTGTAGATAGCTCTTGTGTAGCTCTGCGCGAAATTCAGAACAAACCAATCCAAAGGGTAAAGCAGAAAAAAAAAGGGACAAAACAAGAAACAGATCGACTGAGAAAGATAACAAACACATTACATACAAAACGATGTCAAAGTTCTCAAAATGTCAGAATAACACGAGCAGTTTAGAAAAAAAAAGGATGTCGGATGCTCGAAAATAGGATATGTGACATTTTCAACCTAAACAACACCTTATGTGACTTAGGGCTAAACTGCCAGGTCAGGATACCTAAGAAGCAGAAATACCCACTCTTAATTTAGAACTGCTTATCAAAACGTATTAACGAATATCGGCTCGGTTCTTGGAACTTTAAATCCTCGGTCCAGCACGTTTAATAAGTGAGAAACTAGAAAACAAACTGATGGGAAAGAAAAGGTGAAAAACAAGTAAAACAAATCAGAAAGAATTAGGAAATGAGGAGTACTGAGGATAGAAAGAAAGAATAAGTGGTGTAGACATAAGGTAAAGGAAGTAGAATAAATGAGAAAGAAATATTATGTGTGATAAAAATGACAATTAATGCAGGTGAGTAGAAAAAAAAAGGAATGGAAAGAAGTACCAAAAGTGAAAGTTGCCTGAGCAGAAAGAAAGAATGAATATATATATATATAGTTTTCGAATGAGAAATAAAAGGGTAATAATAAAAAAAAATGAAACGAGAAAACCTGGTAGAGTAGAAAACATGTACAGCTCATTTTAGGAAGTCGCTATATATTTAATTAAGTCTTATATTTATTGGTTTTCATCCAGTGTGAACTTAACTGGGATTATTCCAATAAGTCTAAGAGAAATGAAAAGCTAGCAGAAGATGGAGAAAATCAGAGTGTGTGGAAGAAGAATCGAGAAGCTCAGAGTAAGGATGATAGGTAGAAAGGTAGTATTCGAGTCTGATCAGGCTTGAGTAACAGATTAAAACGCTTTCCCCAACCAATCGACCGCTTTACTGAAAGCGCATCAGTTCAAGCGGAAACAGGCGTGACTGAATTACTCGAAAAAACTTTGTAAGTTATACTGGAAGATCGATCTTTTCCTATTTGTTGTTAATGCGGGAAAAATTCAACGCCTGAAGCAACAATTTCCGGAGCAGTTTTCCGTTGTAGTAAATAACTCCTTCTTTACATATTAAGATAAAAAATGTAAGGAAATGTGAACTTTTTTTTCAAGTTGGAAATGAACCCAAGATTAACATTTTACATTACTCTTACGTAATTTGATTAATTCATTTTCTGTACGTTATGGGTTGACATGGGTTAAGAACATTTTTTCATGTCTAAGTGTACTTACTTACTGTAGGAATGTGAGTACACTGAGGACGAATGTTTGTAGGAAGTAAATACACAAACAGAGTAACTGACGCTAGATTTTTTATATTATCATGATGCGGATAAAGCATTGAAAGCCCACAAATTTTTCTACTTAGATGTGACTTCTAAAGTAAAATATAATTAAGGGAATGGTGTTTCTAGAAAACACAAAACACAAATTTATGTAATTTGTTGTTAATGAGCGACAGGAAGAATAATAAAAAACATACAACATTGGGCTTAAATGATTTAAGCCTTAATAACAGTCATTTTTATTATTAGCCACTCTACACCAGTTGATGCATTCAAATGAGTATTGGACACGTTCCTTTTACACCCTATATAGTAACACATATCTTTGCAATGGAGGAAGAGTACACCTGATACAGATGAGGTGCAATCTCCCATGTTTGTGTTTCTCTACAGAAAGATATCACACACCATGGACTTTCTTTGGACACTTTCTGATGGGTGCTCATCTAGGTACATTTTTCGTTTGTTTTTTTTAATTGTAATAGCAAATACCTAGACACAATCTGGAAACATAAATCTAATGAGCATGCTTTTAAACCACTTGTTACATTTTTATTATTACATGACCAAACAATAGACACAATCTAGAGACATAAATCTAATGAGTGTGCTTTTAAACCACTTGTTACATTTTTATTATTACATGACCAAACAATAGACACAATCTAGAAACATAAATCTAATGAGCATGCTTTTAAACCACTTGTTACATTTTTATTATTACACGACCAAACAATAGACACAATCTAGAAACATAAATCTAATGAGCATGCTTTTAAACCACTTGTTACATTTTTATTATTACATGACCAAACAATAGACACAATCTAGAAACATAAATCTAATGAGCGTGCTTTTAAACCACTTGTTATATTTTTATTATTACATAACCAAACAATAGACACAATCTAGAAACATAAATCTAATGAGTGTGCTTTTAAACCACTTGTTATATTTTTATTATTACATAACCAAACAATATACATATTCAATCACTAAAGGAATTAATCAGTAAAGTTTGAAAAAAAATGATTTTTGTTAAGAAACGTAAATAGAATAAACGAACAAATTTGCTTGTCTATATATGGAACATTAGTCTTAAAACGAAGTTCTGGGATTTGGTTCTGAGATACAACCTAGTTATTAAAGTAAAATGAGGATAAGAAGACACGTTTCCATGGTGCAAGTGGGGAAATATTTTCTTTCTTTTTTATTCATCATGAAAGGGTTTCTGTGTAAAGAGTATACTGTTAGTCAAACAAAAATGACGTGTCTCTTGGAGACGAGTTCCTCCTTCTTTTAATTATAGTTTTGAATTCATGTGAAAACGTTTAAGTTTTATTTTAGTATACTTCAAGAAAAACAGAACCATTTTCTTCTGGGAATAACGATGTTTGCATGTTTAATTACAAAATTATTACCTTATAAGAGTCTTTAGTAATAATATCATTACATTACGTTGATCGTTAGAAGATAACGAGGGTGTGGAGGACCCCCATCTTACATTTTCTTTCTGTTTGATTTTTCAGATTCTTTATAATGTCCAGACCATAGTTGTTTTACATGTACTAGAGCTTAATTACACTTCGTAACAACGATGTTCCAGGTCCTTTGCTGTCTTCGAGACTACTTTCCCCATTGTTGACTATTTTCAGTCTTAAACCCCACCTCTCTCCCAATTGGCTCAGAGACTAAACACTGGGCTTCGATATCCATTGGTGGGCACAGCACAGATAGCCCATTGCGTAGCTTTGTGCTTAACTTCAAACAAGTAAACAGTTTAACTGTGATTGCACACCACTGTTCGATACCGCACTTTCTGTTGTAACACATTTCTGTGAAGGAGGCGAATTCAACCTAAGAACAACCACCTTTCCAGATTTTCCACTGTACGTAGATGCCGGCCTCCAAGACCAATTTAAGGAAACCAGCGGCATAAGAGGCCTCTGGAACTGCATCGTGGGACTAGACAGGCATATATGTTTTTGAAAGGGATTACTGTGGTTCTTGTCTCTTCCCATTGTTGTCCTAAATACCCTGCTATGTTATTTCCCTCAAAATAGCTTAACAACATCGTTATACAAATCTCCTCTTTCGTAAATAGCTGTGACGTATGCATCTACCCATAAAGTCAATTAGCGGCATTGCACTGTCGAATAGTTGAGTGATTGCCTTGAAACAAATACATATATATGTTAACGCGTCACCTGCGACGCCACGGCTTCCATATGTGGAGACATGCCACTGTCTACCTTATGAAGAACGATTAATCCATTGTTTAGCATATTTACCTCTTTCACCACGTACTCCAAATAGACTGTCACAACGAGGTTTAGATTCGACAAAACTGTGGCATAACTTTGCGTTAATTTCTCAACAAATTTCATGCTTTAATAAAAGTTTTTGGAGCAGACTTATATTTGATTTTGATTTTTTTATAACTAATTGGATTTAGTGTTAAACTTCTATAATTGTGAAACAGTAAGGAAACCTTTAGACTACTTACGTCGTCCAAGGAAGTATTTGAAATACCACCTGGTCTGATATTCAGGATTTTCCAAAACAGGAGTACTAGGTGAGCCATACAGCTGAAATAAAAAAAAATTGGTTTAATTCGGAATTTATATTTTCAAAAAATTAACTTTAGAGCGGTAAATATACTTAATTTTTGCAAATTAAAAAAATGACGTTAAAAATTTAATATGCTTAACCTTTGTAAAATGACGGAAAATAATATTAAAACAGTGAATTACTTAACCTTCCTGAAGTGACAGAAAAGTAATGCTAAATGATGAATATACTTAATCTTCAAAAAGGATGACGGAAAAATATAATTAAAAAAGGTGTGTGTTCGTAGCTTTCGTAAAGTCGTGGGAGAATAACGTGAAACAGTAAATATAATTAACCTTCGTAAAATGATTTAAAAAAAACCCGTTAAAATGGTGAATATATGAAAACTTCGTAAAGAGACAGTAATATACCGTTAAAAACAGTGACTAAACTTAACCATCGTAAAATTATGAGTTGCTAAACAATTTATGAAATAAAAAAGACATGGGTTTGAACACTAACATCATTTTGCTAAGAATGACTTTTTATTTGCTGTGATAAGCTGTAGACCAACAAATAATTTTAATGAATGACGAAAATGAAATCCTGAGATGGAAGACATTTTAGTATTGATACTTATCTCTATATTCAAACATCTTTGTACCCATCTTATCTTAAAGATGCTATGGCCGATTTATAAAAAATCATGCTGTCTTTGTACCCATCTTATCTTAAAGATGCTATGGCCGATTTATAAAAATTCATGCTGTCTTTGTACCCATCTTATCTTAAAGATGCTATGGCCGATTTATAAAAATTCATGCTGTCTTTGTACCCATCTTATCTTAAAGATGCTATGGCCGATTTATAAGAATTCATGCTGTAGGGTTAACCATAAGAATGCTGTTACTACGAGAACAATCAGTGAAAGAAGTTCATAGATATGACAAAAAACGTCGGAAGAGGGGTCCAGGAGCCCCATCTTCAATACAGAGGGAGAGGCAGCATCCACTTCCCTCCCCACATTCCTTCAGTTTGGTTTTTGTGAAAAATAGAAGGTTATTTCAGTGGTCATTAGACATCTTACTTTTTTCATTGATTCTACTTATGTTTGTTCTATCATTTCCATCATATCTTGGCCACCACTGCATCAAGATAGGCACAAGTTGCAACTCTAACTGTAGAAACTTTCCAAAGAAGCATGTCCTCCCCCTCCGAGATCCATTAGTTTCTGGCTGCCTTTAGCGGTGCATTTTTGATAATATTTCAAAATTTGCCTCTCACTTCTACACACACACACACACATTTTGCTCCTAAGAGCTATGAATGATATTTTCTCTCGAAATTTTCAAAACAAAAAGAAACATACAACTTTTTTGGTAGTTTTAGTTTTTTAAACGACTTTAGTAGACTTGATGGTGTTACACTGTAATACTTTTAAATCATGTTTCTCATCAGCCTTCGTTTCAACAAATTGCTTCTCTATTTTCCTCTAACCATATTGTAACTTATCAAGATTAATTTCTGAGCGTCAAAGGCACGAATATTCTATTTGTTATTAAAATGAATTAAATTAAAAGTATATACTTCAGTGAAAGCAATATGATATATTTGTTTGTTTTGGAATTTCGCGCAAAAGCTACACGAGGGATATCTGCGCTAGCCGTCCCTAATTTAGCAGTGTAAGACTAGAGGGAAGGCAGCTAGTCATCACCACCCACCGCCAACTCTTGGGCTACTCTTTTACCAACGAATAGTGGGATTGACCGTCACATTATAACGCCCCCACGGCTAAAAGGGCGAGCATGTTTGGTGGGATGCGGATTCGAACCCGCGACCCTCAGATTGTGAGTCGAGCGCCTTATCCACCTGGCCATGCCGGGCGCTGTGATATATTTAACAAAATAATCTAGTTTTTCAAGTTTGAAAGGCTAATCTTTAGAACTGAAAATATTAATTATGATTATAAGATGATTTATAATATTTTATTTATGCAATAGAAAACTTATATGCGTTATATCAAAACGATTTCGGACCCTCTGCCTCGTTGTTACAGTCCATGTCGCTACGTCCAGTCATACTCCTTTTGACGATCGTGAACTTGGACAATAGCCCTGCAGCGTAGTTTCCGTAGCGAAAGACTCGCTCGTAAAGCCGTAATGCCCAAAGCACACGAGGACGACGGTTTCCCAACACCCGTTTCAACAGTCTGATCACAAAAAAATCCATAGGTGCTGAGTCCGGAGATATGACTAATACGTATGGAAGAACATGAAACACATTTCATTCTCCAGGTGCTTGAAGTATTCAGCGGTTGAACGAATATGTTGTGGAGGTAACATGTATACATGTGACAGAGATCATTCTAGATTTTGTCGCGCACTGCTGCCTGGGACAGCTGGACTGTTTTTGCTACTTTCTTTGGTGTTCGCGGATTCTCACTTGTTACAAGTAGTCACAGGTATCTTTCTGGGTGGTCTTGATAACCCAAGTTGATCCACATTTCTTTGTGTTCCAATGCTATTAAGTACAAGGGATATCCCCGTCTTTGAAAATGATAAATCTTCGATTTGAACACATGTTTATGATCTGAGTGTTTGACGATTTTGCATCGGAAAGGACTGTTATACCCTTCCCAAAAGGAATAAATTTTCGTTGGCAGCATTCTAGTTATGTAACACAAAACAATGTTAAAATGTAGTTCTGATACATTCTGTTCCATTGGTACTTTATATCAGTTTTAGTAATCACGTGATTCTGAATGGGATTGTGAAAGAGAAGCGCAAAATAGGAAGACAAAAAATAACAACAACAATAAACTGGATGACCAACGTAAAGGAATGGACTAAGATCTCAGCGACAGAATTTGTGAGAATAATGGAGAATCGGCAAACCTGGTGAGTTATAACAGCTGAATCAAAGGTGCTCCAACAATCAGGACTGTCATGGATTTGACTTGACTTGATGTGGTTGTCATGCGACTTGCCGATTTGAACACCTCTATAATACCGTAATAGTTGGATTGCACTAAATTATCAGGGAGTTTTTTATGTTATCGACCATAATTTAAGGAGCATCTCGCGAGATCTGACGAGTTTATGATACATAACTTATGCCAATCTATATTTTAAGCTATTAAAATAAATTATATCACAATCGCTGTATAAGTAGCAGTGTTACTTAACAAAATTAACAAGAACAATAGAAAATTAACAAATGAATTAGAATAGTAAAAGAAAAAAAGTAGATATTACTATTACTAGGGAATACACCAGTAATGCTACTAATGTCTCAACCATCAAATATCCCATCTGTAGTAATAAGAACAATTACTACATTTAAAAAAGTCCAAATTAAATATATATATATATATATATATATATATATATATATTACTCTTACGGTTCGGGGGG